TACGACAGTGAGGGCAGCGGTCAGACCGCCACCAAGTTTGGCTGCGCTTGGGTTGATTCTACGATTCTCCAATTGAGAGAATGCATCAATCTTCTAGACTACCACGGCGTTCTCAAGCGTGCTAGCTTGCTTTGGGGTCGCTTGGCGTGCAACATGCACAAAAGCACGACATCTGCGATTCCTCAGTGTGGCCTCCCTAGAGGGGGAGCAGGGGCAGCAGCTGCCGCTGTCAAAGCTCAGTGGATGGAGGTAAACATGGTCTATGAAGCCGCTACGCTGGGCGTAGAAGCTGCATGGGCGCTCCAGAAGTGGGATGACATGGCAAAGTTCATGTCATTCTGGGGTAGTTTCAGTCTCTCTTCGATCAAATGTGTTTGTGCTCGCCCTACAAATGAACGTGTTTGCTCAAGATGCTTGGCTGCTGCTGCCGCAGTATCGCATGACAAGCCCCACGAGCTCTTATTTAGTCATGCTGCTCTTATCCTGGGCATTGAGAGTACGAACTGCATGCCGGCTAGTATTGGCATGCTCGATGCGCACTCTTTCCTTCAGGCTGCGAGACTGTCGTTTCTGCAACATACTTCCCGTCCCGGCATTGCCCAAATATTCTTCCTACAGCGCATTCAGGAGATGCAGGAAGTCATCGACCACCTGACGACGCCGAAATTAGATGTCGGACATGCACACGAGTCTCTGTGTTTGAAATGGCGACAGAGGCTGGTCTGTTGGGCACATCCTGATCCTTTGCATTTGTCAAGACTGATGATGGTGCGTACCTTGGTGCTGTCCCCAATCGAGAAGTTAGATTTGCATATTACCTTAGCAATTCTATGTCAAAACATGGGCCGACCACTCGCTTGCATGGCCACGCTGCGACGCTTGCAGCCATTGCTAATTCACCTATCGCCACCTTACAACGACATGCCCTTCTCCTCGAGGCACTTAAACCAATTGTGTCGTCTTAATAAAATATCTGATCCTGATTATTCTTTTCAAAGGGCAAGGGCGAATATCTGTCCTACTATCACATCAATGCACATCTGCTACCAGATAAGCTTGGTAATGTGGGAAATCGGCGATGGCAGATCAGCGTATCACTACTTGTTTTGTCTATCGCAGGCGTTACTCAGAAATCGCCAAAAATACCCTAAAATCACCTTGTCTAGCTTGACGACCAGGAGTGAATGGTGTGTTGCTCTTACACAGATAGATTGCTGGACAGAGCATCACAACTCACTTAATGAGGCTCATTCCTTGATGTCACTCGCAATACAATTTGGGCCACACACGCCGCAGGCGTGGTTCGCCTGGGGTCTGACGAATCATAAGCTTAGTGAAGAAATGACACGAGTGCGGCTTGGGCGGGCCCCTTGGCCAAATATCAGCGTTCATGGATGCCAAGATCACAGTTGCTATGTGATTGAGTCTATTTGCGGGTTCCTTCGCAGCATTGAACTATTTGATATCAACCGTGAAGCCAGAAATGATACAGTCATAATACAGGCAATGTTAATGACTATAAGCTTGTGGTTCAAGTATGGATCATGGAGCTCAGCGATTTACGCTCTCAAGCAAGGACTGGCCAAGAGTTCTGTTGGCATCTGGCTCGGCGTCCTGCCACAACTCATAGCGCACCTAGATCATGCCGCTTTAGAGCCTCGGTTGCTCCTAACTCATCTCTTGACTCGAATTGGCCATGTTCATCCGCAGGCCCTGATTTATCCGTTGACAATATCAGGCAAATCGCCAGTCGTTTCGCGTCGTGATGCCTCCTTCTTCATCCTCTGTAATTTGCAGGCTTGTCTTTATGCAAGTCAGGCAAATAAAACTCTAGTGGCTGAAGCAGGATTGGTCGCTTGTGAGCTGCACCGAGCTGCAATTACATGGCACGAGGCATGGTTCCAAGGGATAGAGAATGCAGCCAACTTGCAGTTTGGTGAATGTGACTTAAGGACCACATTAGAGCAATTGGGTAGACTACATTCGTGTTGGAGACATGAAGTTTCGCTGGCCGTATCCCTACTCGCTCGGGTTGCTTGTAATAGGCTTGGTGATGCAGCAAGAATTCTAGCCTTCAGCCACGCACACGGGTGTGAAGTCGAATTGGCACGACGGCACCTTCATCAGTTTTTGCTCAGTCGCCGAGACTTGGACCTCCATCAAGCATGGGATGTGTATTCGATCCTACACCGCCGCCTGAAACAACGGATTTCATCTGTAGGTTGTGAGATCCTGGAGCTTTGCCACATAGCTCCAATGTTGCTTTCAGTTAGGAATCTGTCTCTCGCAGTGCCAGGAACATCGCTATCCGCAGGGGATAAAAGTCGAACGCTCCCAATTTGTGGTATGCAACAATGCGGCATCATCCACATTACGTCTTTTTCCCTAAAAGCAAATATCATTTGCTCGAAGCAGCGGCCGCGCCGGATTAAGATTCATGGTTCGGACGGTGAATCATACGACTTCCTCCTAAAGGGTAACGAAGATTTGCGCCAGGACGAACGGGTAATGCAGCTATGTGGTCTAATAAACTGCTTGCTGGCACAAGCATATAGCAAGTGTGAGCCAGCTCTCTCAGCCCAAGGCCTGATGCAAATAACCAGGTATGCGGTCATGCCCCTGTCGAACAACTCTGGGTTGCTCGAATGGGTTTCCAACTGCTGCACGGTACACTCACTTATTGCTGAACACAGAAACAGATTTTCCATCCAGACAGATGCAGAATCGAGTTGTTCGCAAATAGTAGCTCCAGCTTATTCAGAGTTGTGCAGCCCAGGGAAGCTCGAGGCCTTTTCATACTCCCTGGCGCGCACCAAAGGAATAGACTTGGCTCGCATGCTCTGGTTAAATTCTGAAGCCCCGTGTAAGTGGCTTTCTATAAGGCAAAGGTTCACACTTACTCTGGGGCTAAATTCTATGGTAGGATTTATCATTGGACTTGGTGACCGACATCTTTCCAACATCATGGTGAATCATTTGACTGGTGATGTTGTACACATAGACTTCGGAGACTGTTTTGATGTGGCATCGCAACGGGCCAAGTTTCCGGAGTATGTCCCCTTTCGTCTGACAAGACAGCTGATAAGCGTGATGGAGGTAGATGGAGTTAAGGGGATCTTTCGTTTGGTTTGTAATCACGCCATTAGAGTTATGAGAGCAGAATGTCTATCTCTAACAGCCGTGCTCGAGGCGCTGGTCCATGACCCTTTGATTGGACTCAGTGTCATCCTCCCAGCATCGCCAAGACGATCACAGTGCTTTGAGGGCACGCTGGAAGTTCCGAGCCAGGAGGCGGCCATTCGCGTGGTTGCTTTAATTCAGGACAAGCTAACCGGGAGAGTCGTACGATCAGGGGATGTCACTGCCGTCGAGGATCAAGTTTTGAATCTTATTCACCAAGCTCGGTCTCGATCGAATATTTGCCAGATGTTTTTTGGCTGGTGTCCATTTTGGTAACCAGCCGGGGGCGAACCTATCACCTCTTATCAAGGCAATATTTTCCGCTTTGAGCGCCCAAGGCTAATACGCGCCAATGGCTCTCTGCCGGCAGGGAATCGCCCGGATACACACAGCCAAATTCAAGCCCCGCCGCAGCCCCCTAATGCGTCACGAGTACAGAGGCCAACGTGCATGCAGGGGCGTCACAGGGAGCTGGCTGGTAGTCAGCATGAATTCCAAGCTGGGTCTCGTCACGCAAAGCCTTCTGTTGAGTGAACATCATGACGATCAAGTAGAATTAGACTTTAGATCGTGGAGTGGACATTCCAAGAGTCTATGCAGCCCGCCCCTTCCGTGTTTTCCCATGTGCATCCTTGCCGCCAATGTGGTTATTACATACTATCAGAATCAGCACAGGCCCGATAGATTGACAAGTTGTACTATTGTCCAACCAACAAAAAAATTATAAGCTACAAAATAAAAACGAACAAGTTTTCCTCTCGTGGAAGGCAAGTTTGTGAAAAATCGTCGCAGAAATACGCGACCAGATGACCGAGCGAGAACGCGGATATTGTGTTACGGTGAAGTATGTAGGGGGGCTTTAGGGCTTTACTCTACTTGGTCCCGACTAACCTACTGTGCGCTTCGTAATACGGATCAACAAAATTCGATTAGTGGATCACAAAACGCGTGCAAATCCGTTGGAATAAAGCTCCCGCATGCACTTCTGATAAATTCCAACAATCCTAGAGCAAAGAAGCGGCTGAAAGCCGCCGCGCGCGCTCCGCGTCCCTCCGGCCCGCGTCCTGCGCCATCTGTTCCCGCAGCTGCGCGGCGTAGGACTGCTTGTCGACGGCCGCGCGCTCGTTGCCGAAGGCGTCGCGGCGGCTCGGCTCGCCGAAGATCGGGCTCGGGTCGCGATTCCGCGGGCTCGACGGCCCCTTGGACCGGTCGTCCATCTGGTCCCGGAGCGCGGCGGCGTAGGCCTGCTTGCTCATCGGTTTGCGCTCGTTCCCGACGGACCCCGACGCGGGCGACGACGGCGAGGCGGCAAAGCCCGCGGCGCCGGCGCCGCCCGCCTCTACCGCCGCGAGGTCGGCGCGCAACGGGCGGACCGCGTCTCCGCGGCCGCGCGCGGCGTCCGACGGCGCGCTCGACGCCAGCGAGGAGCCCGTCCAAGTCCGAGATGTTCGACTCCCTTTTGAAGCTCCGCGCCGAGCTCGGCGACGAGAGAAACGCGCCCTGCCCGATCTCATGTTTTAGTTCAAGTTGAACATACAGCTCTATGTTGAAGTTATTTGTGGCCGCCAGAAGCCGCCACAAGGCAGTGTGTGGGCCGCAGGGCTTCATGAGGAGTCAGAAGAACGCATGGAGCTGCTTCCCCGGTGATATTAACCCAACCCTTCGATGCTAGTAGAAACCATATGCACTCAAAAAATAAGCCACCCCACCCTCCGGGGCCGGGGAAGCGGCGAGCTGGGAGAGGACCACCACAGCCAGCAGTTTTATTTAGCTGGATGATGATAGGTGGTCTAACCCACGAACTCGTTACCGGAAACATACTGTACTGCCGTAAATGCAATTTTATGTCGATCCTTTGCAACTGAAGCGCACGGTAGGTTAGTTGGGACTAGTGGTATCTCGATGGGGTCCGACGGTCCAAACTAGTACGCGTCGTACTACTAATAGTATTTTCCGCGTTCGCCGCTCCGGGGCCCCGGCCGGGTCCTAAATTAGAAGTCGTCGTATTTCCCGCGGGCTAGAGCGGCGGGCTAGCGGCCGCTGGCCTGGGCAGGTCCGGAACGCCGGCCCAACATAGCGGTCCAACACCCCCGCGTCCGGGCCTGAAAGGGCCGGCGAGGCCACTACTTGAAGTCGCCAACACCCCCGCGCCACTTGCGGCCGCGTGTCAAGCGCCACCTGCGAGCTGCCAGTGCCGTGCCCCGCGGGTGTGCCCATGCACACCCGGCAGCTCTCGTCTCCCGTTTGCTGGTTTTGCCCCTGTTGTCTACATGCCCGATTAGACCTCAAGTCCCTGTCTTACACGGGCCGCTTATACCGGACAGTCACCAGTAGCCTTCTTCTTCGCTTTTTTCTTCTTCTTCTTAGAGGCAAGGGACATGATAGCGTTCACATCATCTGAAAGGGTTTTTTCAGTCTTGACAGCCTCAGTTTCAAACGATTTGAGACCAGTAATGCGAGTGGGGCCACTGGGAAGGATTAAAACTGTGAACTTAAAGTGGGATACATAGTCCCCCTTTTTCTCAAAGAGAACAGGGTACGGGTGAATGAGCTCATGCTTCAAGCATTCGACGACTCCCATGCGTGCCTGCCGCTCATCGTCAAGGGCACGGAGTGTGAACGGTAGCGCCGGAAACTTAGAGTTTATCTCATTGAAGAGTGTCCGGCTTGATCGCATCTTCAGCATGTAATTCTTGTCAACAGAACGTTTGAAGATTGTTGTGCGGGATATCATCTCTTTTGGCTTACCATCACCAGTAGACATGGCCACGTCTATGGAGTAAACCTCGTTTAGCTCAAAAGAAAAATCTTCTACTTTCTGATCTGTGTCCTCGCGAAGCAGAATGACTTTGTTGCCATCAATGACAAAGCGCTTCATTCGGTGCGACAGCACTCCAGCACAGGCGCTTACGCTGAAGTCCTCCGCAACTTTGGCTATGGCCTTCGTCACCTGCGAGTTCGTGTTTCCTGGACGGAGGAGTTTCTGTGCTACCTCACAGGCGATATGAGCTGCATGGAGCACGTCCGCCTGAGGACCTGATAAGGGCCTGTCAATACTCGGCTGCTTGCCGCACATCATTGTGTGAGCAGCGACGGCGATGTAGCCATCCACGTAGCAACCAACGTCTAGCTTCACCAGATCACCTTCTGAAAGCACTTCACTGGTAGTGTCTGATTCAAGAGGGGAATTGTGGCATACACATTCATTCACAGAAACGCAACTATGTACATAACTTTTAAGTGGAAATTGTCAAACGGCGCTGGGGGTAAACGTTGGGAAAGCCACTCCTTTATCGATCAGCTTCCCCTTGATCTTTTTCTGATAAATACTGCCGCACTTCTGTATTATGACCATGTCTCCGAACTTGCACAGTTCTAGCACCTTGGCCCCAGGCTTAACTTGGAGCACGAGCCCTTGTAGCGCCAGATTAGCAATTTTCCCGGCTTCTCGGTACCTACTCTACACTTGGCAAAACGTTTCATGTCGCTACGCGGCGTGACTTTGTGCAAACGTCACTGTTTGAAATATCGAGCTCCACATCTTCCTCCGTGTTTTCAACCTTTGATACGAGACTTCCCGAGCGCGAACGAATTGCTAGCGAGACACACGACCCACCTCGTCATCGGCGTCGATGTGTTTGTCATCGGCCATTACGTGCTCGCCAACTTTTAGGCCTGGCGCCTACTACTGCTACTAGGAATCCTAGTAGATAATAAAAGGACCATGCAATTAGGGGCGACACTGAAAAACCGGGATTTTGCCGTCGTCGAGCCGAGCTCCGAGGCTGCGCCTGTCCCGAGGAGCCCGCGTAGGAACTCGAAAACGACTTTCGGTTCGTCCGGATCCGTCCGAATTGAGCGAAGTTATGGTACTAGAAGAGCCCGTTTTTTTCCCGCGGAACGCGCGTCGGGGACGCGCGGACGTTTCGAGGATGTTCCTGTGCTGCGGGTCCGGGGGGATGACATCCAGGAACTTGGCGTAGTGGGGGCGGTTCACGTAGACGGCGACCGACGCTCGAACTCGAGGTCCTGGCGCCCGCCGGAGGCGCGGGACTCGCCGACGTAGAAGGCCTTGGAGTACTTCGCCTCGAGCCACGTGTAGTAGTCCTTGGCGCCCTTGCCCTTCCTCCGTGGACCTTCTGAGACCGCGAAGCTGTCGAGACGTCGACGCGGCGAATAGCAGCACGCTGGTGACCTGGTTTGGATCAGGACCCAGCAAAGTCTCCCCGAGTCTCTTGCAGAGCGAGCTTTAGGCGCCGACGAGCAGCGCTGCGGTTGCTGCGGCCACTCGGGCCGGCGCAAGGCGCGGGGAACCGAATCCAAACGCCCGCAGGCGCACAGCCGGGCCGACGGGCGGCGACACGGGGCAGCCCAGCTCTCACAAAACGCTCTCCCTGGTCCGTCAAGTGCAGGGCACTGTGACCCATTCTGGCCGGGGCGAGTTTTGGGGGAGCCATAAATCGGCGCATTCGCCATGGTGCGCCGCACCACGCAGTTCCCCAAATTTTCGCGTCCCCCAAAATCCCGGAAGTCGCTCCGGCGACGCCTCCCAAAACCAGGCGCCAGCGGAGGCGGAGCGGAGCCCGGAGAGCGCCGGGGTTCATTGACCCCCCCTACAATGCAATCACAGGCCTGAGGAAAACTCTCTAGACTCTCCGTCTATTACAGTGCGGGACGCAACTATAACAGGGTTAGAAAGTATTAAGGAAGGGAAAGGATATTGGGTGGCTCTGTACCAGCGAGCCACTAGGGAGATACAAAACTCTCCATCTCTCTACTATACATCCGAATTCCCTCATCACTTCGAACGTCGCCGTCGCGCTAGCAGCGGCGTGCTATGGTGCTCTGCGCTCGATTCACAGCTGGGGGCTTGTCGGGGCTCGGGGGGCGAACCACGCACTGCGCTGTATTCTATTCATGGGAGGCCACCCTGAAGATGGCTTATATATATCTGCGAAATTGCAGCGGGCCTGGGAAATCACATTTTGCTAACATCTTCAAAGTTCTCTACAAGGTCCGGCACGTCGTCATCATCATCGTCAATCCCGACGGCCCCCGCCCCAACGGCAGCTGATTCCTGCGCATTGCCACTACCAAGTGACATGCTGTCAGCAATCTGCTTGAGGTGGTTAATATTATCCGGTCCAAGCTGATTCATGATACCAGGCAACAATTCCGTAAGTTCTGTGTATAAATAAATGACTTCCAATAGACGGAGAGAAGTCAAGTCGGGTACGCACGTTTACTTTCATTTGGACCACTGACTACGTATGTATTGGCCGCAATCGATGCTTGCACTGTGCGCAGGGGTTGCAAGCTTATCTCACGTGATTAATTCAGGGTGCTACCTTTCGGGTTTGAGAAGTGGACTACTTTACCATCCGCGGTGAACAGATTGACCTCTTCTATGGCCGGTATGTTCGTTACTCCGAGCTTTTTCAGTGTGCTCCCAAGCTTTTTGTCATCGGAAGTCGCGGTCTTGTGCACAGTCTTTTTCTTCCTGCGGATTGAACCCTTGCCGCCAGTTCGGGACTGTTGAGCGCCCCCAAATCGGCGAGCGATCATCTTTTCACGAGCAGCGACAACATCCATAGCAGCTGCTTGAAACTAGCGAGCGGCGAGCGAGCTCTAGAATTGTTTGTACGTGTAATCTTCGATTAGCCAGGAAAGTAGCGCCCAAAGGAGAGGGGGAGACCTCGGGGGGAGCACGAGTATGTTCTGTGACATGCCACGTACGTCGGAGCTCTTACGTACACCCTAAGGGCCTCCGTAGGTCTTAGGTAATTCCGGTAATGCTCAGCCCTAGGAACTCCGTGATAAACGGCGACTATGGAGGTCAGAACGCGAGTGTGATTAAGCACAATCAAAGTGCGCTTGCTAAGTTGGCGATAAGCCAGCTACCTAGGGAGCCTACATTCCGCTCCTTGGGCTATGCTGCCCTAACTCGGGACTATGCTATCCTCCCTATGCTGGGACGCTCATACTGGCCCGTGCTGGCTATGCTAAGTCTGCCTTACTAGCATACTGGCTATGCTCATGCTATACTATGCTGGTGCTTCATACTAGCATACTCGGATTCTAACACGGTATATACCTTTTCTTTTTCGTATCCACTGGTAAAATTTGTGCTGTGACTTGGTGATCCGTTCGGCTTCGGATTCTAGCCCAACCGAAGCAGCCCGCCGGCGGAATTTTCAGGTAAATGTCGGCCCGCAGGCGCCCGCGCGCCCAGCCCCGAATCCATACCTTGGGCGACTGGGTCTTTGCGTCATTGGACGGCGGACGCACTCGGTCTAGAGTGACTCTAGAGTGCGGTCGCCGGCTCTAGAAGGCCTTCTAGAGCGACGCGACCGCACGGACAGCCTGCCGCATTCACGAGGTCCTTCTCAAGCACTGAGGGGAATGAACATCGTGGTCGTTGTATTCGTCACCTTCATCCTTTTGTTATCGGTCTGCTTCGAACTAGGACATGAGCATCTCAGGGAGACGACACCGGAAGCATTTCAACCGATTTTGACGTCGCTGTGCGTTTCCTCGTTGTGACTGTGTGCCGATGATGGAACTGCAGGTACTCAGAATTGACGTTACTTGGCTTTATCGGTCTTTTGATGTTCACCATTTTCAAGGCGGAGTACCTGCATACAATGTCCACCAGAATATTTGGTGCGACGAGCACGTTCCTCTACCTGCTAATATATTTGTTTGGTAGGTGAGCCGGAGGAAATCCAGGAATTGGGCGAGCAAGTTCACATGGTGCTCTTTCTCGTAATGGCGATATTCCTGCGCAAGC